CATGTCGGAAGTGCCATAGTTGAAAAGGCTTCAGGGCTTGTGGCCTATTTAATACTCTTTTGGGTAGATTGGTGTTACAGGGAATTTAGCGTCATGAAGCACAATTGGCCCCGATGAGGCCTGGTGACTGGAAAACCGGCAGTGCGAACAGTATCTCCGCCAGTAGGTGGTACTGTATTTTCACTTTATTGTAAAATGGATCTGGCCTGGGAAAGCACATTGAAGCATTTCTTAGCTCACCAACAATCCTCATGGACGTTTTACTTCAATCTGGACTTTTCCCTCCATGTGTATTTAGTCAAACGTAATTTTTCAGAAGTCCAATTCACAAAGTAGTAAAGAGATTGATGAAAATGTCAGTCAAAGTCAAAATATTCTTCATGTCACATCCAGATAACATGCTCTTTCAGTACCTCCTAGGACTAGATGGAAATGTGAAGCTGTCAAAAAGAAAAAAAAATCACACTATACATGAATATGTATTTAACTTTTGGGGAGAAACTCAGGTAATGAGCATATTAATTTTAAAAGCTTAGATTCACATAAGTACTGAACTAGGGGGAACACTATGTCTTTATCTCAAAATGGGTTCTTGATGGAGAGGGAAGAAGTAGACGCAACTCAAGATGTGTGCTGGTGTGTTAGATTCCCATATGCAGACAAGACTGGAACTGGAAAGTACTGGATAGGCTTCAAACCTTCTCTGGTCATGAGTGCTATCTGGCACACAGTACAGCGCCACACAGCGTGCTAAAAGACTATGCCAAAGCCTTTTAACAGCATCTTCCAGTTTTTGCATGACTACTCTGAAAAGGCATTAGTACTCCTGAAATGTCTGTGGACAGGACAAGTGCTGTGTCTGGCTACGCCCGACAGTTACTTGTGTGCCCTGAGTTGAACACGCAATGAGGCTAGCCTTGTGCTATCCAGATTGGGGTAGCTTCAGATGTCTCTTCTCCTCCTAATCTGGAATCTGCAAGGAACAGGGGGACTGGCCCACCAGAAAACTCCACTCCATGGAAAAAAATGGAACTTTGTTCAATAATACAATTGGGATAAATAATAATTGTGGTGTCCCTGCTGGAGTGCCAGTAGTTCTGAGCTAGTTAGGATTTCTGTTTAGCAGAATTTTATTTCAAGGTAAAATAACATAAGAAATCTGACTTGGTTGCACACAACAATGGTGCTGAAATGTTTACACTTACAAAAGGTGATACAACTGAGATTAGTTCTACTAAAAAGAAAATTGTCAATATATGATATTGTCACTGATAACAGTGGTAGAAAATGCTCTGTAGTTAAAATAGGTTTGATATAGCTAGCCTTGATTGTCTTTCATTCATTGAAGTAGGAGTTAAGGTGGCACGATCTGGGCATTTTTAAGGCAAAAAGTGTAGGACTAATCTCTTCACAGAGAGCACAGCATCTAATCATAACTGCAATGCAGAGGCACCCCTTTTTGCCTCGGTTGCTCCTGCAGGTCTATACTAAATCACCAGCATTTGGGGCAGGTGCTGTTCGTATGGACAGAGCTGCACTCTCAAATCTAGCTCAGTAATTTTCATGTGGCTGCGTGCCAGCATAGGTAATAAACTCATCTGTAGCTGCGCTATTGAATGGAGCTCATGTTTGGACCCTGTCGGGTAGCAGCGACTGCAGGCAGAGAAGAGTAATGCAGAACAGGGAAGCTGAGCAATGGTCACAGGACTTCAGAATGTTGTAAGCAGCTTTTGTAACTAATAAATAGATCTCTTTTCATGTCTGCACGTGGACTAGCTGCATGGTGAACAGTTTTTCTCACTGTGGTGAAACCTGTTAGCATCATCTTCAGTATTTAAAATTACATTATTAGATACTGCATAATAAGATATAAGGAACTCAATGTATAAATGTATGAGAAAAAAAATCCCCCTCCCCCAAATTAAAGAATTTATTACAAAGCCAAGAAGTCACACAAACTTTAAGTAAGTCATTCATGGCTAAAGCAGAGAGAAGATGGGTTTTATTAAGGTATAAAAATGTGTTTCATAACATCCTTATTTCTCTTTTGGAGAAATGGGAACTGCCACAAAATCACTTTGACTGTTAGTACTTGCATATTGTTACTTCATACACTAAAGGCTGATCTGTACTTAGACGTAGCTGGCATGGCTCTCCTGAAATAAATGGAGCTGTGCTGATTTGCATTAACTGATGATTCAGGCGTTACATGAAATCAGTCAGAGCTGCTACTTTGAATGGTAAACTAGCACCTTTTTTATGTCAGATGGTAAGATTGTATATCAAGACTTTATTTTCTTTCCCATTTGTCCTTTATATATCATCCAAATTAAAGAAAAATATATCAATGTTGATAAATTACTTTCATGTAGTTTTATTCTTCCTGACATTGTCTCAAAGTACTTTAAAACGAGTATGAAAAGTACTAATCATCAATAAAGTATACATATGAAGTATACCCACTCCCTTCTGTAATTATAACTTGCACGTCCTTTGGTCGTTGATTGACTTGGATTGTTAGCTACAAGTTTTTTGTGATTTCATATTTTTTTCTCAGAAAAAGAGATTTTCATAATGTTTTCACAGTTTATTGCAGATTTTAAAACACCAAGTACAAGATATATAAAGATTTTCAACCAAGAAACAAGTAAGTGTATAAAATAATTTGTGTTGGAAAAGACCCTTAAGATCATTGAGTCCAACCATTAACCTAGCATTGGCCAGTCCAACACTAAACCACACACCTAAGCACCCCATGTACATGTCTTTTAAACACCTCCAGGGATGGTGACTCCACCACTTCCCTGGGCAGCCTGTTCCAGTGCTCGTATTCAGCCAGCTGTCTATCAACCTGTATCTTTCATTAAATATTTTATTCATTAATAAAAAATACTTTGATATCCATGGTCTGCTAAAGGACTTAGCCTTACAGTGGCAGACCTGCAGAAGTGTTAACTGTGTTGTCTCTCTGTTCTGTTGTTCTGGTACCACACGGCAATGAAGCCCTGACCAGAATGTCAGCAAGAGCTCTTGGTTTATCCCCAGGACTGCAAAGTCAAGGATGCCTAAGGCAGGGAAACCCAAGTTATTTTGCTGACGCTGTCAGCGTATTTCACCAGTCTGCACCAGAGCTAAAACTCTTCTGAAACAAAGGTGATTAATTTAGGTGCTGCACTGCAAAGCATGGTTACAGCTCTGCTGGTCTCAAGATGGCTTGGCCTTGTGGTGCACTGTGCAGGTGTTTTAAATCTGCAGCTTGGTTTGGCTTCAGTTTGGGAAACTCTTGTGCATGTCTACTATCTGTCCTGGGTTTAGCTGTCGCAGTCGTTTTTTCTCTTTCTTGGTAGCTGGTGCAGTGCTGTGTTTTGACTTTCAGCTGGGAACAGAGCTGATAAAAATGATGTTTTGGTTTGGCCAAGGACTTTGTGAGCCTCATTCTCTGCCAGGCAGGAGGGAAGCCGGGAGGAAGCAGAGACAGGACACCTGACCCAAACTGACCAAAGGGGTATTCCATACCACAGCACGTCATGCCCAGGATGAACTGGGAGTTAGCCGGAAGGGCTGGGTGGACTGCAGGGTTGGAGGAGGTATGGGTCGGTGCTTAGTCAGGCTGGCGGGGCGAGTTATTGGTCGCCTGGTGATGAGGTGTTGTATTCTCTTCCCTTGTTATTTCCTTTATCATTACTATTATTGGTGGTAGCAGTAGTGATTTGTGTTATATCTTAGTTACTAAACTGTTCTTATCTCAACCCGTGGGAGTTGCATTCATTTTGATTCTCCTCTCCATCCCTCCGGGAGTAAGGGGAGGGCAAGAAGGGGGGGAGTGGGTTAACAAGCTGTCTGGCTGGGTTTAAACCACGACACTATCCCAGGAAGTTTGCTGGGCAACCCTAGGTTAGCATGTAATGGTTTATTAAGCCATATATTTTGTACATGTATTTCACTTAACCATGCCAAAACAAGGGCTTAGACTTCTACCTTGAAACTATGGATTGGGTAATAAAGGTAATTGTTTCTTTCGACACCCTAGAGCCTGTTCAACGTCAGGGAGTTATCCCAGGTTCTACAAAGCTGCGCCAACCTGGCCAAGGGTTCCCCTGCCTGCAAGCACAGGCAGCGGTAAAGGCTAGTGCAAGGCAGCCCATCGCGCATGGATGGGGCTGGGTGCTAAAACTGCTCACCTCTTCTCCCAGGTGTAAAGGGGAGGAAAATTAAATCCATAGAAACTTACAGTAGTCTCAAATATTGACTCAATACCCCAGCAGACAGGGCCTTCGTTTGGATTCAGCATTCAGGTGGGATTGGCATTACATTAAGTCCCCGGGTGAGAGCTGGGACCTTACAAGGCTTTATACAAAGCAAAGCCTGTTCGGAGTCACTCCCGGAGCCCTGCGTGCCCGTGTTCCGCCTGGACGCGCCCGCAGACGCACTGGGGATGCCACCCCCACCTTCGGCCGCCGCGCCGGGGGCCGCGGGGCGGGGAGCGGGGCGCGCCCAGGTGCGGCCCGGGCTCGGGCGGGCGGAGCCGCTGCCGCCACCGCCTGCGCCGCTGCGGAGCCCGTGGACGGGGCGCCCCGCAGCCATGGGGCAGGGAGAGGCGCTGCCCGGCCGGCCGGCCTGCCGCACGGGTCAGTGTGTGATCGGGCGCGTTAAGGGCGCGGGGGGTGCGCGGAGCTGCGGGAGGGCGCGCTGGGGACGCTGGGTGCTGCGGGTGGAGATGGGGACGCGGTACCCGGCGGAGCGCCTCGCGGGAGCGGCTGCATACGTCATGCATACGTAAAACAGGTCCGTCATGACGTCACTGTTGTTGTCTTAACTGTGAGGGTGGTGAGGCACTGACACAGGTTGCCCAGAGGAGCTGTGGCTGCCCCATCCCTGGCAGTGTTAAAGGCCAGGCTGTGATGGGACTGGGTCTATGGGAGGTGCCTGTGCCCATGGCAGGGGGGTTGGAGCTGGGTTATCTTAGGGTTCTTTCCAACTCAAACCGGCCTATGATTCTATGATTCTATGAGCGTGGCACTACTGATGCTGGGGAAGCTCCTGTGCTGCTTCTCTCAAGGCTGGCTCATGTCTAGACCGTCTTCTCAGCAGTTTTTGTGCGTTTTTGTGAATGGGGGCTTGCCAGGGAACAAATCCTTGCTGCTTCTCCATACACCCACTTTCAGCCCCAGTAGCCAGGCCTTGGTGAAACTGACCTTGGTATTTCCTGAGTGACCAAGAAAGGCTTTTTGTGTTCCTACCAGTGAGCTGACTCCTGAGTGCAATGAAAATGGTCAAATTACATGCGTAATCAAAGCAAATAGTTTTACAGATGACTTAGGACCAGTATCTTTAGTAGCAAGATAAAAGCCAAGCCGGCTCTCACTAGCAAACCACAGGGTACATTAGTCCTAGGCTTTTGCAGGACTACAGAACAACAGCAGGTTAAACTTGCCACAAAAAACGTGGTATCAGGCTGGCCAAGCTGGCTGACTCAGAGAATATTTAGGTGTTTGAGAAGATAAGGTGTTTGATTCTGAAAATGAGGAATCATTTTCAGAACCATAAAAACATTTCGGAAGTTACAACAGTGGCCAACTGAACTCAGTCTGGTTTCCTGTTGCTCTCAGCCTTGAGTCAGAGCTGGGAGAGTTTATTTCTGCAAGGAGGAGTTTTGCTGACAGGTTCATGTTTGTTAACTTTGGAAGTGGGAGGTGAAACTAGCGTAGCTACAGAAACTGGGTGCTGAGCAAGCCAGGCAGTCTCAGAGATTTGTCACCTTCCTCAGTGTTTTCAGGTGTCTTCAGATTGTGCACAGTGGGCAATAAGGTAGTAGTAATTCCTGGGTCAGCCTCCTCTTACCAGCTCTCAGGTGGTTCTTTGACCAGTGAGGTGACATACCACGTACCATGAGAGTGGAACAAAAGACACGCTTTTTAGAACTAGAGAATGCTTCTCAGCACAATAAACAGAGATCACAACCATTCAGAATGACTCTTCTCAGCAGGCAGACGGAACAGACGGCAGAGCCAATGTCTCCTCATAAATGTGAGCAAAGACTATTTCAGGAAGGACAGAAACATCCAGTGGCAGTCACTGAGCAACTTATTACAGATGGCATGATTAAATTTTCATTATTCGGTGTCATAATGTCTGCTGGGGAACAAAAAACTTAACAGTCAGTGAAATAAGTAGTAGTAGTGTCATACGGAAGGGAATAAGCCTGCCATTCACCTCCAGCTCAATGGAAGTACACCATTCACAAGAAAAGGGAGAAGAGCGTTATTTTCTTCCACATAAAAACCCAATGTGATGACTGAAAGCTGCCTAACCACCTACCACTACAGGTAGCTAAAAAAAACATACTTACCAGGAGATTTTTGTCTTCATGCTTTCTTTTAATTAAAGGAAATAATTGGGCTGCTTCTCACATAAAGACTGTAGTAGTTGAGTACTGGTGGTACATCTGTCACCAGTTCAGTTTAGCATCATTATAAGGTATTGAGAGCTAAGGCATTTAATTCACTGGTAACCTCTCTGCTTTTTTGCCTTGCCCTGATATGTGTTAGCTAAGAGAAAGATCTGTGTTTAAAGTACTTCTCTGTAATTTTCTTTCCTAACTTTATCTTTAATAACTATGTCAAAACTTAAGTATATTCAAAATTATCTTCTAAGACAGACATTGCTAATACTTTAGGATTTGAAAATACTTTCAGATACAGATGCAAACTCTATTTCTTTTACATTATCCAACTGCAGCTTTTAGTAATAACAAGATGGCAGAATACTTCTACATACAACACAAAAGTAATTTCATGTAACAATTAAGTTCTTTAAGTTCTTCAGCTGCAGGGTATGGATGTACCCATCTTGTGGGACCATTTTTGCAAAGTCTGGCAATACAAAACAACTCCTTTTATATAGAAATATTCTTAGCAAACAAGGAAATGTGACTGCACAGCCTGAAAATCAAATGGTAACTTCCTTTAGTATGTTTGTTGTACAGTATGGCACAGGAAGACTGGGAGCAGATACTTGTTCTAGCTCTTTACTTGTAAAGGGTGTTCTCTCCCATTGTTAATATCAGCATTGTCAGCTGCAAATAAAGATATGCTGTCAAATTTCATACTTGTTTTAATACTCTTGATATTTTCAGCATTCCTTCCTAAACTGCATTTGATGAATTACCCAAGGCTGCTTATAATTGTTCAGTGAAGTCAGAATATTAACATTTCCAGAGTTTAGGTATGAACAGACACAGAGGCACATCCTTTTCTACCAAGTCTCTGTGGTTTTTTTCAGTTGGAAGAAAGAAGTGAGTGTACTACTGATGGTGTCACTCAGCAGGATGACTCTTATGTGTCATTTTAATTACATGGAAAACATGGAAAGCAAAACTAATTGTTGCATCCAACGCCTTATATGAATCACAATGAACTGAGCTTTTGTACTTTTGCATCAGCTGTTTTATATGTTAGCAGGTCTTCACAATAAAACCTTTCTGTCCAAAAACGTTGTTCTACACTTGGTTGTCTGATCCACGCTGTTTTCATGATGCAGTTTACTGTGAAAAACTGTGAAGCACAAGCCTAGGATAGTAAGCCCTGTTGCAGCATTTCTGCCTGTCCCCTGCTTCCTCATGCAAGACAATGACTCCTTTTGTTCTTAGAAATGCAATACCTCTTCTTCCTTTAAAAAACATGTCTAGGCTGATGGCAATGATGTCATTCCCACAGGCTCATTGTATTAATGCTGGTCAGGCTTTGCTGTTTGAGAGCAGCTTCAGCCCTAGTTTAGGATCAACTAGCTCTGCAGCTGTGCGGCAGGGATAGCCAGGGGGACTGTCCCTTGCAGGCTGTGGTCTTCCCCCATCTAGCTCTTGAGGTTAGATGAAAATGATTGTAAGGTGTAATGAAGACTCCACCTCAGAATTTTATGAGTTGTTAAAGGAAATCTGGCTCACCTGTAGACAATGAATTATAATGAAGCACATTAGTGCCCATGTGCAGCAAGAGTTTGCTCCCTATATAGATTTTCCTTCTCTTTTCCAAATCTCAGCTACAAATGTAAAAGCTGCAGAAGCCTGGAATAACAGCAGGCAAAGTCTGAAATAATGGATTAGCTGTATGTTTATGTTTTGGGGATGTGGTCTCTGCATAACACAAAAGAACCCTTTCATCTTGAGGTTTCAGGTTAGCTTTCAAGATTTTAAGTTGAATTTTACATCAGATATAATGTTTTATTGTTGCATTCCTTCGTATTGCTCTAGTTGCTGGACTGAGCCAATTTAGTGGAAATATATATAAAAAGTAATGTAGGCACCTGTGAATTACAAAAGTGGGTAATGGCCTGGGGCAGCATTGTGTATGTTATCTACATTTTCTGAGTTATTTGAATGGTCAGAAATGACAATGCTCAGGGAAGACATGGAAAGGAGCGAGGCAAAGCAAGGATGGGACTCCTCCAGAGCTGTACCTGGCTCATGGGTCACTTGTCCTTTTTTCTCCTCCCAGGTGCTGTGCTCTCTCTTGCTTGCCGTAACTCCTGCCTAGCATGGTGCCAGATCATAAATGTGTCTGAATCGTGTTCTTCTCTCCTCGCCTCTATGGATGGGACTGTCAGTGAAACAAACCAGAGCATTTCCATGCTTGCTGGAAGCAGATATCATCTCTATGTTGGCTTGGCTCTGGCACTAGGCTCCAGTGCTTTTAATGGTTCTAGTTTCATACTGAAGAAGAAAGGACTTCTGAAACTGGCAGACAGAGGAGTCCCCCGAGCTGGTAAGCAATGGTGTTCCCTTGCTCCTGCTGGGAACACAAATGTCTCTTAAAACTTGGCAAAAGCAAGGTTTGAGTCACAGGTCACGTGTTTAAATCTGTCGTAGTTGAAAGCTGTCATACTTCAAGAGTGATCAGAAGTCCTGATGAAGATGCAGTATTATTTCTCTGTGTGTGATTACAGGGACTGGGATTTCAGAACTCCTATAGCTGTGAGAGTAGTGGTGGGTATTAAATCCAGTGTTATTTCCTCCCTGACAGGGGTTAGATACCAAATAGAATGTCTCCACTCATGTTTCAAAAAGCCTTTGTCTTTTTCCCATCTTATTTTTACTCCTCATTTGAGACATTTGAAAGTCTTCAGATGGTAACTAGGTTTAGGTTTTGTGGAAAGCTGTGGGGAGGATACTTATTAGAAAAGTTTCTACAGTTAGTACAACTATTATCAAAGTCGACAGATGAAGAGATAGAAAAAGACCTATTGAACTAATCTCAAAATTCCCTTTGTATGGATTTAAATGTATAGCATTAGCAGTTTTTCTTTTGTGTATTGTGTTTATTGAAATGTAGTTCCAGAGGATTTGGTTATTTGAAAAAACTGTTACTGAATATTCAACATACTTATATTTTATGTCAAAAAAGTCTATGTGTGCAGTGTAATTTTTCTTTCTAATTTCTCTCAATTTAAAGTATAAACAAAGTCAAACTGCAGCTGACTGTGTATGGGAAAGCACTTTGAAGCATTTCTTAAGCTCACTAACAACCTTCATGGACATTTTACTTTTACTTGGAATTTTCAATCCATGTATATTTAGTTAAATACAATTTTTCAGAAGTCCAGTTCACAAAACAGTAAAGCAATTAATGAAAACATCAGTCAAAATCAAAATATGCTTCATGTCACATCCAGATAACATGCTCTTTCAGTACTTTCTAGGACTAGACGGAAATGTGAAGCTGTAGTTTTGTCTATTATAACAAAGTGTTCTCTTTCTTCGAAAATGAAGATTATTTTTCCCACTTTCAGGCCAAGGTGGATATTCTTATTTGAAGGAATGGCTTTGGTGGGCAGGACTGCTATCAAGTAAGTCACCTTCTTCCTCTCAATCTATAAGTAAATGCTACATTAAGCAGATTGCTTTAAATGGATTTGTTTCCTGATTTTTCACTCCCTTCACTTAAAAGAAATGTCTTTGAAATGTCCTTTATGACAGAAGCTGTTCTGCTATCCCATCTCTCAAATCTGTGTTTGCTCGTTGGAGCAATTTGCAGAATAACAACCTTCTCTTTAATACTGCTTTGAAAGAGGTGAGATTGAATCTGTCCAGCTCCTAAGAGTACTCAGGGGAGAAGTGTTTAACTTTCTTCAGCCTGTATTATGTCCAGAGGAGGTTATGCAGATAATTTGGAAAAGAAAACTTGCATATACAGTGTAGAAAAAGGTTTTGGTTTGTATTTGCTATCATACAAAATGTTTATAATATTATGCCTTTTATCCCCACTCTTCAACCTGATCCAAATGTTCTTTTTTCTGCAGTGGGATTAGGAGAAGCTGCAAACTTTGCTGCCTATGCCTTTGCACCTGCAACCTTAGTTACTCCCTTGGGTGCACTGAGTGTTCTCATAAGGTTAGTATGAACTGGAAGCAAACCTTGACAAATGAACCATTCACTGCATCAGGGAAAAATACTGTCTTTGGCTGAAAGTAGAGAATTTTAACAGGAAAACTGAAAAGTAATATATGGGCAAAAAAATGCTTTTTGTTCCTTGGTGGAAAGATCCATTCCCTTTTTAGAACTGAATTTTCTGGGTAGAGGGAGTGAGAAGTCTTGTTCCAAAGACCACTGTATACTTTCCCAATAGCTTTCCACCTATATTGTAAACTATTTCTTATCAGTATGTACCAGTTATACTGCTGAAGCATAGTGGTAGAAAGCTGCAATTTATCTCTTCCTAGAGAACTGAAAGCTTTCTTAAGAAGTCATACCGTGTTGCAATGGAATTTTAAATGAAAATACGTTATTTCCTCACTAAAATATTTTCAGAACCATTTCTCTTTTATAGGAGCATAATTTCATATTAAAGTACAGTTACTAAGCATTTTGGGTTTGTTTGGTCTTTTCCAAGCCCTTCTTGAAAAAAAGGCAAAGAAAATTTTAGCTCTTTTAATATCAGTAGTTAAAATTTGTGGTTCTTTTGAAATATGAGTGCTGTTCAAACGATCGTTATTTCCTGTGTATGAAGAAACAAATGATTTCCAAGTACTTAAGCACATACATTAATATGGCTAGCATAGAAGCAGAAAAGACATGGATTATGCTCACAACAAATTTTCTGGGAAATAAGTTATTAGCAAAATGGAATTATTGAATTTGAAATGTAAAACTCTATTTTTTAGGACCTGAGTATACTATATGAAACACTGTGTTTAAAACCAGCCTGGGCCAGGTTTTATTGTTTTGATTTGGTTTAGGTTTGTTTTTTAAAGATGCTTGCAGTAATTTAACTGCTAAAAATGCAGCCATTCTGTCATAGCAAAACCTGTGTAACTCAGTCACCTATAGATGTGCTGAGATGAGTGTGTAGGTAGATGCTGACTAACTGGCTGCCTGGCTAATGCTCTGTGAAACAGCCCGAGTTTAGCACCCCTCTTCTTTGATGTGGATAACAATCTTTCCAGTTTTCACTAAGCAGAGGTCATGAGAGCTTCGAGTCAGTGAGCTTGCTACCCTTGTGTGAAAAAATGGTTTTAATTTGATCAGTGGGTTGAGAAACTGTGAGCACAGCCAGACACCATTAAGCCTATGTCTGTGTCTAAGGTTGTGCTCTAGCTGGCTAATTGTGTGCTCATCTGGGCCATATTACTGTCCTTAGGTTAAATCTTAAGCAGGGGGTTTTTGGAGAGCCTGAGGTCAGTCCTCTTCAAAGGGGAAGATTTGCCTTCTCTGTGCTTTTAGGGATGTCCTGGCAAGCCAGGCAGAAATGGTGCTTGGGTGGGTGAGCCTGGGGATGGATGAGGAACAGTTTCTAAAACGTGAGTGCATTGGTTCTAATGGCAAGTCAAGTGCTTTAAACCATGTTTGGAAGAAAATAGCAGTTCCTGTTATTAGCAAGTGGGTAAGAGTGTATACCCCTGACTCAGGCAATCAGTGATGAGAAGTTCCTTAAGGAATTTGGACCCTTTACAACCTGGAAGGGAGGCTGGCTAACCCTCCTAAAACCGGACCTTCTCGGTCCTGATCAACCTTCTTGCGAAACTCCTTAAAATTTTCTTGTTTCAGGCTGGTTTCCCATATATCCAGATTCAAAAGAGGTTTTGAACTATACTCTTATGCTACACAGACAGATCTTGAATGTCTCATGCGGTTGTTGGATCTGAACTTTTTATTTGTGTTTTACTGAACAGTGCTATATTGTCATCCTATCTTTTAAATGAGAAGCTGAATATTCATGGAAAGCTGGGCTGTGTACTGAGCATTTTGGGGTCAACAGTCATGGTTATCCATGCCCCTGAGGAGGAGGAGGTCACCTCACTAGATGAGATGGAAAGAAAGCTGCAAGATCCAGGTCTGTATGCAATTGCAATGAACACATGCTACAGTTCATAGACAAGTGATCAGGATGCTAAATAAATGTAGCGTATACTTGGACATAGTCTGGTATTTTATCTCATGTACATTACTCTTTCCTCTTTCTTACAGCATTTGTTACATTTGCTGTTCTACTAACAGTTGTTGCCCTTGTGCTGATTTTTATCGTGGCTCCAAAGAGAGGCCAGACAAATATTCTGATCTACATTTTAATTTGCTCACTCATTGGTGCCTTCTCTGTCTCATCTGTGAAAGGCCTGGGCATTGCCATTAAGCAGATGCTGGAGCAGAAGCCAGTTTATCGACATCCGTTGGTTTATATTTTGGTGGGCATCTTAGTGCTCTCAGTCAGCACCCAGATCAACTATCTCAATAAAGCATTAGATGTGTTCAATACATCTGTAGTGACACCTATTTATTATGTGTGTTTCACCACAACGGTTGTGACATGCTCCATCATCCTGTTCAAGGAGTGGAGTAGTATGGACCTGGGTGATATCATTGGAACCCTGAGTGGTTTCTGCACTATCCTCACTGGCATTTTTCTACTTCATGCTTTCAAAAATACTAACATCACCTGGAGTCAGTTGATGTCCACTGTTGCCAAAGAACCATCATTAGCACACCAAGAATATGAAACCTGTCACACCTTACTGGAGAGCATGGAAGACCCTGCTTTGGCATATGAGGAGGACAATGTTTTATTCAGTCAATGAAACTCTGAAGCGGTGCTCATCATCGAAGTATCATGAATTGCAGACTCAGCTCAACTGTGTGTACCAGAATGCTGCTCTGTTCTGCAGTCCTCTGGAAAACCATCTGTAAAGCCAGTTAAGTGTGGGCTGCTCCTCTGTGTGCCCACTGTTGGTAGTAATGAATGCAAATGTTCAATAATTAACATGACAGAGACCTGATGGTGATTGTATATTAGGCAATGAAAAACCTTGTCCTTTTTTTTTTTTGTGCAGCATCTCCTATTGGAGATTTTTAGCAGAAAACGATGGTCTTTGTAAGCTATATTTACAAAGTGCAATTTTCCCATCATGATAAGAGATAAATCTGTGCTGAAGTGACAAGTACTTTGTTACAGCCTTAATATTTCAGGCTTTATTCATATTTTTGTACTTTATTGGCAAGCAAATTTGTAGATGTTCTACATGAAGAATATTCATTGGAGATACAATGCGAAGAAAACACTGTTTAACCATTTCAGCTTTGATTATACAATTATGCAATATTTTTTCACTTTTGATCACTTACCAATGAACCTTGAAAAGATGGCACTAAAAAAAAAATTATGTAATACAGTTCTTGGTAACCAGTCTCCTTAACTCCTTTTACTGGCAAAGTTTTAGCTCTTCTACCTCAGGAATCCTGAATGGTTTGCAAATCCCTGAATACCTTTTTGTTTCAAAACTGTAACCAAGTTTCATTTTAAGAAAAAGCCAATTCATTAAGAGACCTGAAAACAGTTGGCTTAAAAAAAAAATACAGTAGATTAAAGAATAAGCAGAAGAAAACCATAATGTGCAATTAAATATTTCCACTTTGTTTTGCACTACTGAGGCTTAAGAAGGGACTTCCCTTATTTACATACTTCTTCCTAATACAGCTATCTATTCATCAAAAGCCATTTAAGCTTTTCAAAGTTTTTTTCTCATTCTTAATAGCAAAATAGCAAAAGTTATTCTATATTCTGTTGTAAAAGCAAAATCCATTTTCCAATCCATGCCCTATTTCTAAAAATACTGGGTAAAGGAAGGGCTGTAAACAAGGGTTGAGGAACATCAAAACGTCTTTTAGTTTGGCCTTTTCATCTTTTTTAAAAATGAGTATTCAGTTCTGTTAGATATTTTAGCTATTAATCCACTGTAGACCTTGAAGATTTGTATCTTTACCACAGTATGATCCTCAGTTGTGGTCTCTGATCCTTACCTCACAAAAAACAGCTTACACAGTCCATGCTTTACTCATTACAGTACCCTCTGTTGCCACTTTGTGAGCCGGAAAGTAGCTTCACCAAGCAGATGTGGGGTCATGCCGAGCTCATCAGAAAGGTAGTATTTCTAATTCCTGGGTTTTTAAGTGTGAGTCCAGAACGTTTGCCAGAGGATGCAAGCATTTCAGCAGTTAAAAACTGATTTTAATCAGCTGACATCTCCTTGCCAAGCAGAACCTCCTCATGAAGCAGCCTGTGTATTCTCTAATGGTCAAAGAGTATAGTAAAAGCAGACACTTTGGATTAATAGCAAATTGTTCTGCAAAAAAAAAGCTCATACCTAGCTGTAAGTACAAAAGGGTTGCTGCTGATAATCTCATCCATGTGTCATTCAGAGTTTCAGTCCTTCCTTTCTGAAAGACATTCACGAAACATCTCATTTGTTAATTATTTTTAATGCTACTTTACAAACTACAAAAAATTGGAAAATAACACTATGGATACTAGCTTAAAGTTAAACTCCAAGTTGCTTTTTTGTTTTCTCACTTGTCTAGGTTTGTAGTTGACGTACCTATAGGAAGAGGTAGAAACTGTATCAACCACCTGCACCTATTTCTAAACCCTCATTTTTACAGTGAAGAGCATATCTGAAAAATGTGAGACTGAAAAGTGCGTCTGGTTCTTCTGCTCACGGTACCTTATAAAATATTGGAGGTAATCTTGCTGGTGTACAGAGAAGAGCAGAATATGTCATTAGGCAGTGGGTATTCAGGTTATCAGCTGTGATTACCTAATTTGAGAAGTGCATTCAGCAGTGCAGGAGGTGGCAGCAGTGTTACCCCAGCAACAGAGACATTTTCACAACAAATGTACTTGCCTTGAAAACATAATGACAGTGTATACAGCTTCATTTCAGCTTCCCAGGTGACGAGATTTGCAGCGATTCTGTGCTGATAAAATGCATGTATTAAAAAATGCTTCAAAGAAAAAAAATTATAAACAGGGTTTCATTACTTCTTCATTAATGTAGAGGATACTGTGGCTTTATTGGCCAGATTCAAGTTACAGAACCTTTATATTTTAAAACAGGTAATACAAATAATAAAAAGAGTAAAGATGGAGTTTTCCTTTCAGTTTGCCTTTTAACAAAAACTTCCATTACTTTTCACTGTGAAATTCTCATATCATTTAAAGAAGAACTGAAGAAAATACTGATTGACCCTGAAAAGTGAAAAAGAAATCGTTTGGCATAGCTCATGGTGCCTTTATTTGCCTATACAGTCATCACTATGGTGTGGCTGAATGGGTTGTTTGTAAGAAAAAGCAACCAGTCCAATTCTTGAATGGCTGTGTGTTGGCATTTTTTTAAGGTATGTAGTAATTCTTTGAGAAGAGTCTGTACGTTTTTATGCCAGGTCTGGGCTCCTTTTATAACAATTCCTGGCAGTCAGTTAACTTGTACCAAACAGAATTTCTATATTTTCTACTGGTCCTGTGTATCTGCTTTTATACGTAAATTTACTAGGAAAATAGTTCTTTTCTTGCAATGTCAGAAAACCAAGCTAATTCTTATTGTTCATGGGGTACAGGAAGTCTATCATGTTAAAAAGTAAATTATTATAGTTTTGTATAAAAAAACATTTCCTATAAGAGATGTTACTTTTGAAAATGTTTACATTTAGTTATTAATCTGGAATAACTTTAATTTTTAGTGAAAAATGTGCTACTCTTTCTCTTGTAATAAATTATTCATGGATTATGTACTAAAACGTCTTGTGTTTTTAAAACAAGGAATAAAAAGGAATATAGTTCGTGTTTTTAGTAAACATTTAAACACTATGTATCTGACAGATCCAGAGAGAGTAGTCCTGATTTTAGCAACTGGTCCTATGCACATGTAAGTGGATTCTAGAGGAAGGTCTGGCTGATGTCATAAAATCACTGAATGGTTTGAGTAGTAATGGACCTTAAGATCATCTAGTTCCAAACCCCTGCCGTGGGCAGGAACACCTCACACTAAACCAGTTTGCTGAAAGGCCTGTCCAACCTGGCCTTGGGCACTGCCAGGCGTGGGACAACCACAGCTTCTCTGGGTAACCTGTACCAGTGTCTCACCACCCTCACAGTAAAGAACTTCTTCCTTATATCTAATCTGAACCTACCTCTTTCAGTTTAAAGCCCTTCTGCCTTGCCCTGTCTTTACCTGCCCTTATAAAAAGTCCCTCTTCAGATTTCTTGTTTAATTTCCAGTACCTAAAGGCACCCTTTAGGTACTGGAAGCTGCTCTAAGGCTTCCCCAGAGCCTTCTGTTCTCCAGGCTGAAGAAACCAAGCTCCTCTGAACTCCCTCCAAAAGATCTGCATCCCTCTTAAGTTGGGGGCCCCAAAGGTGAATGCAGTGCTCCAGATGGAGTCTCACAAGAGCAGAGTAGAGGGGCAGGATCACCTCCTTCGACCTGCTGGTCATGTTCCTTTTGATGCAGCCCAGGATACGGTTGGCTTTCTGGGCTGCAAGTGCACATTGCCAGGTCATATTGAGCTTCTTGTCCACCAGCACCTCCAGGGATTTCTCCTCAGGGCTGCTCTCAGTCCATTCTCTGCCCAGCCTGTAGCTGTGTCTGGGGTTGCTCCGATCCAGGTGTAGGACCTTGTAATTGGCCTTGTTGAACTTCAGGAAGTTAGGCACAAGCTCACCTCACAAGTGTGTCAAAGTCCCTCTGGATGGCATCCCTTCCCTCCAGCGTGTCAACTGCACACTGCACAGGTTGGTGTCCTTGGCAAACTTGCTGAGGATGCACTCAATCCCCCTGTCCATGTCATTGATAGAGATGTTAAACAGCACTGGTCACAATACAGTCCCCTGAGGTACACTATTTGTTACTGGTCTCCACTTGGACATCAAGCCCTTCACCACAACTCTGAGTGTGAACATCCATCCAAGGACTTTAGCTTCCCTAACCTGATCCCTGGTTGTTCAGACAATTTCTCTGTATTCCTCTCAGACTGCCTGTCCTTGCTTCCACTTTCTGTCAGGTTTTCCAGGCAGTTAAATGGAGGATATTATCTAAAGTAATCTGAAGTGTTTTGGGAAGTAGGGCAAATAGTTAAGAACTAGAACAAAAGAAAACCTTCGAAGCAACATATTGCTAACCAAATTATGGCTTTAAATGCTGATAGAAAGCAAATCTTGGCAGCTATTCATTTCAGAGTACCTCAGGACAAATTAATGGCCAACTAAATTTGTCATACCTGCCACACTAAATTTAGGCAGGTCAAAAAGACTTGGATAGGTTAAATAATCTGCAGGGAGCTTGGAAGGAAGTACATGCATTATTCATTTCTATAGAAACCTGCCTTCCCAGCCACACCTAAAACATCCATGCTGTAAAAAATCTTCACAACAAAGAGTACTGATTCAAAACTTCAACTTCTTTACTCATTCAACCTTGTTTACTAATCATGGTTGCATCCTGGAGCCATATGGGGAATTATATACTTCCAGCAAACACCATTCTCTTGCTGTTAAATTCCAGCAAAATGAAACTGGCAAGCATGTTAGATTATACTCTTTCAGTAGAGCAGGTTTTCGATAGCTGGCAGTGGGAGCCAGGCTGGTGGCACATGAGGGAGGACTGGTGGTGGTGATGATGTGTGTTAGTGTGTCTGCAGGGCCTTCCTAGTTGTGAAATCTGGGGAGAGTGAAAGTTGGTCTGAAAACCAAATGGCACTGGAGACAAATTTCACCAGACCTGTATACACAAGTAGCTGGCTCGAATTGCCCATCATGTGTGCTTTTGACCAGAGAAGTCCTTTCACTTTCTGAAAATACATTCCAGGTTGCCAACAGTGTGGTTTTGGGTTTTTTGTTGTTTCTTTTCATAGAAAAGAGATACATCCTAAGCGGCTGGCACACAGAAACAGGGAATTCTGCCTTTTTCCCACCCATCCACAATACGGACTTGCTGCAAGCGTTGTGATGTTTGATCAGGAACCATCACCTGCATTTTACAAATATTTAGCATGCATGCAACCTTTGGCCAGACATTCCCCATACGGAGGTGTTACAGTGTCTCCTTCAACCCTTTACTGCTCTTCCAGATCTCTCTTTTATCACACAAAAGGGTTTTTTTAAACAGGTAACGAACATCCGTTTGCCCATACGTACCTCTTTATGATCAGCAACATGGGTGGCATTCACTGTTCACTTGTATAAGCACTTGTGGTTTTGTCTGTTTGAGTATGGTTAGAGTTTGAGTTAAGAGCAGAGACACTGTGAGGGCTAAGGTGGCCTACTTAGTCTTTAGCTATGGGTGTAGCTGTTCTGGTAAGTAAATACTGTAG